CCCGGGGCAGGCGCGCACGGGGCTTCCCTGGGGGGTGGGGAGAATCCTGGGAGGAAGGAGATGCAGGGGACTCCCCAGCCCCCACTCCCCAGCCACAGAACTCTGTCCCCACTCTCCTGTCCCCAGCCACAGAACTCTGTCCCCACTCCTCTGTTTCCAGCTACAGAACTCTGTCCTTATTCCTGTCCCCACTCCCCGAACTCTGTCTCCACTGTCACCCTGTCCCCAGCTGCAGAAACCTGTCCTTTGCCCTCCCAGCACTGTGTTCCCTCTCCTCTGCCCCCAGCCGCAGAACTCTGTCCCCACAAAATGTATAATTATAAATGCTTCATTTTAGATTTAAATAGCATGAATAAAAAACAGACCATTTATTTCATAACTATAAACACGTGATTTTAATTGTATGTATCGCATAATTTAAAAATAAACTGTTTATCAGAGTTTGTAAGTAAGGGCTGGGGATAGCAAGTGTTGGACAGGAGAAGAATAGAGAGGGTGGGGCTTCAAGGAAGGGGCCTGTTCTGAGATTTAAAAAGTGATCTTGGGTGTAAAAAGATTGGAGACCACTGTTCTAAGAGTAGAGTGGTGGATCTATACTCCCGAAGGACTCCCGGCCCAACTATCAGGAAGCATGAAGGATCCAGTCTGTGAGAGGAGCCAGTTTAGAAAACAACTCCCTACACAGATTGGCTGCCTGTTGCCCCATGCCACTGCCTCTGATAGAGAGGCAAAAGCACAGGGTGGCAACAGCCTGTCTGCAGGGGGTCCAACCTCTACAGGGACAGAGTCTGCTCCACATCCCACGGAGCACCTCTGTCCAAGGGAAGCTCAGGCCCGTCACAGACAGAGGCTGCTTTACGGCAGCCTCCCCTGCCCTGCCCGTGCTGTTGTCTCTGATAGAGGCAGCAGTGTGGAGGGGAGCAGGGGCAGGTGGCAATTGCACCGTCCACCCCCAGCTGGCTCTTTAAGGAGGCAGCGCGGCCGGGGGTTGGATGGGGGTGAGGGGTAGGCGTAGGCAGGTCCACGGAGCTGATACACACAGGGAGCTGGCTTGAAAGTGGTTCCCTGCACGTATTGGCTCCAGTCTGCCCCCTCACCCTCCACCCTGTTGCCTATCTAACCTCGGCTTATTGGTTAATCCTGTAAACTACACAGATTTCCCTCCCTCTCCCCTTCCGATGTTGCCCATCAGAGGCAGCAGTGCGAGGGGCACCAACTCCCGCTCCCCACCCCTTTTCGCCTCTGATATAGAGAAAACAGGGGGAGGGGAGGAAATGCATGTAGTCAACAGGATTAGCCAATAAGCCTAGGATTATCAGTTAATTGTGTAGCTGTCTACATGATGACATCCCTACTTTATGCTACAGGTCATGCCTAGGAAACAGTTTATTATACCAATAAATTGTTTCAGACTATCCAGTGCTAAAGTCCTGTTTCCCTAGGTTTGAGATCTCAAAGCAGCACTTCAACATTCACAGACAGATATGGAAAAAAACAAAAACTTCCATTAAATAGGACCCAAATTTTGGCACAGAACAGTTACATAAAAGCCTAAGCTAGTTATTATCAATTGCCATTAACAAAAATACTATGATGGGAGATGGACCTATAATTTCATTTTGAAAGAGTCACACATTTGCTGTAATCCCAAATAGACTTAAAATTAAAAAGTCAAACCTTTAAGTTTCCTTCTCCTGTAAGGAACTCTGAGTAACCAGCATCAGTAGCAAGTAGTCCCACAAACTGCATTGTTGGTCGTTGTTGAATAAATGCTTCTACAGCTTCATCTGTAACATGCTTTCTTCCAGAAATGTCCAAAGACAAAAGGTTAGGTAAGATATCTTTCTGTTCCAGTAAACGAAGTGCTATATCTGATGTGAATTGTTTATCATCTGAAATATCAAGATGATTCAGATATTTTAGTTCTCTTAGGACATCCAAAATTTGTGTTGTTGTCATTTTCAAGCATTTCAGGTGGTGCATTGTCAAAGACTTAAGTTGATCCTTGCAGGTGAGGAGCGCAGTTATGTCCGTGACAGAGGTATTGGATATATCTAGACTTTCTAATCTTGGAAGTGATGCAACATCTGCTAAATCTTCATTGTAGAACAGAACATTGGTAATGCTCAAAGCACGAAGACCAGACAACTGATTGAAACACCTTTCGTATGGGTCCTCCAAGGAAAGAGTTAATGAGTTCAGCACAAGACATTGAAGGTTTTGTTGGATCCATTTATTGCTGCCAAGTCCACTTATGATGTCTGTGATTGTAATATCTGCATTCACCCCTGTAGCATCAAGTTCTACCAGTTTGTGATGGCAAAATGCTTTCCGGAAAGCCACTGCAGAGATTTTTGCTTTGCGGATACAAGCTCGTTTCAATCGCATCTGGTTGCCTCGGAAGATGCCCACAGTTCCATCGTTTAGAAGCCCTGTTAAAAAACAGCAATAAGTTTATGTTAAAATACAGATTTTATTTTTTTTAAACCTAAAGAAGAAAAAATGACAACCGTTAACAAGAATAACTGGTTCATAACTACACTGACTGCAAACAATGTAGTTAAAATTAGGGGGTCTACCAAATTCACAGAGGTGAAAAATCATATCATGGACCACTAAATCTAATCTCCCCCATGAAGTCTGGTCTCTGGCTGCCCAGCTCTTACAGCGCTGCTGCAGCACAGAAGTGGCATGATATTGCCATCCTTACACTTATTTCTTCATTGCTGCTAGCAGGCAGCATTGCCTTTGAAGCTGGGCACCTGGCCAGCAACCACTGTTCTCCGCTTGGTCTTCAGACTTGGCTGGTAGCCGTGGAGAAATAAGGGCAGCATATTATTGTCACCCTTACTTCTGTGCTACAGATTGTGGTGGGCTGCCATCAGAGCTGAGTGCCTAGGAGCAACTACCACACTTCTGGCACCCAGCTTCAGGAAACATTGCCACCACCAGCAGTGCAAAAGTAAGAGTGGCAATATTCCAACTCCAATAAGATTAAGACCCCCTTTTGAGCCTGGGTCCATAGTTTGAGAAACTGGAGAAGTCACATGTTTTTACACAGGTTGATCACAGCATAAACAGCAAATTTTGCTGCTGCGTTAATATGTAATTTTGTCATGATTTAAGTAAATCCCTAGTTAGCATGCAGCATACACAAAACCTAATCTGCTTCATATAAGACTGAAAAGTTCAATTGATAATTAACTCATTAAATACACTTTATATTTGAGATGGATATTTAAACTAAAACCTGCATTTATACAGACCTACCACAAACTTATGAGAAACCGGTTAGAAATTTGACAAAAATTAAATTGGGGGGGAAAAAAACCAATACATTTGGCTGCGGTTCCCCTCACCCTCTCTCTCTTCGCTGGTCTATATTAGAGGCCTGGAGTCGAATGTTAAAAATTGAAAACCTTCTCTAACCATATAAACAAAATAAAAATACAAAACAAAAAATCCCAGAACCATTACTTTTGTAAGTGGGACCCATATACTAAACAAAGCTAATGAAGCTCTTTTATACAACCTTCATACTCAGAATGCAACAGTTGTTCAGAAAGAGATTCAATGTTTAAAAAAAAAAAGACAGCTAAATAGCATTCAACAGCTTTTCAGGAAAGGAAAGAAGAATGCAGGGTGCAGAAGAGAGGGAAAGAAATTAGGTAGCATATGAAGTGTAACACAGGAGAAGACAAAAAAAAAAAAAGAGACAGACAATCCAGTTTTGGATTGCATAAGATGACATCAGAAGGCCAGTCTTCTGCAACATGGTGGTGAGACCATAACCAAAATATCACGTTTGCTTCAAGAGCCCTAATTACCTGAAATATATTGTCAAATTGGAAGGAGTTCAGATATTTCTTATTTATATAATTCTAGAAACATGCTTATTGCTTTTAAATGCAGCTTTCAGGAAGGAGAGCCTCAGTTCCACTCCAGGGGTATGTCTAGACTACATGGCTCTGTCGACAGAGCCATGTAAACTAGACATACTCCAGGAGTAAATAAAGCTCAAAGCTCCTGACCAGAACAGTTTACAATTTATAACACGAAGAGGAGGGAAAAGAGCAGCTACAAAAAGGAATATTGTTGAATGGTGATTTTAAACATTCTTTGTTAATGCTAGAATGTAGATTTTTAAAATTTCTTCTTGTGTTATGTTTAATGGATATGATTTCCATCATTAACTAGCAGTTAGTTCTTCTACAAGGGTGGGGACAGGCACTAGGCTTTACAGAAATTTTATAAGAGGTGTATTTTAGGAATAAAATGGAAGCATGCTGGACCAAGCAACAGAAAAGCAGTAATTAAGCAATTAAGGGGCTAGCACAGGGGTGAGGAACCTTTTTTGGGTCGGGGGTGGCACACAAGTGAGAAGCAAAGAAAAAACAAAATCTAATTGATTGAGAAGGACACTCTCCACATTCCCCTTGCACACCAGATCTTAGGGGGCTCAAGCTAGGAGATTGTGTGCTCCAGCCCCATGGGGGATGGTCTAATTGATTGAGAAGGACACTCTCCACATTCCCCTTGCACACCAGATCTTAGGGGGCTCAAGCTAGGAGATTGTGTGCTCCAGCCCCATGGGGGATGGCAGGGAGGTGGAGCACCAGTGCAGGCTCCCCAATGCTGTGGGAAGCCTAGAGGGCCGGATCCAGATAAGGCAAGGGCCACATGCAGCCCCAGGACCTGAGGTTCCCCATCCCTGAGCTAGAGGGACTTTTACAGAGGAAAGATTAAGTGAACCTCTGCTTATTTGCTAAACTGTTTGCTTCACTTTTCTCACATACTATCAAGTTCTTTTTGCCCTGTTTATCTGCTTCATCCACCTATTACCTTCATGTCTGCCAGGGAGCCGGTGAGTACTTTGGAGCCAAGGCTATCTTCTTTGCTATTTTCTTTCATAGTGCCTAGCACAATACACCTGCAATCCTTAGTAGGTACTAATCTAATATAAATAACTGAAGTCTAGGGTCAGGATAACTGTCTACAAATATCATAAGGGGGTATATATTAAGACTGGAAGGGAATTATTTAGGACAGTCCTTTGGTTAACATTACCCTGGAATTAGATGTAATTAAGAAAAAAAAATCTCTCTCTCTCTCAAATAAGAAATTCAGAAAAAAAAAATCAAAGTAATTTCTAGAACACTCCATGTTACAACCTGTGCAGTACACTCTCTTTAAAATATGTTTTGTAGTGTTTTACCCAGTCAAATATCTGCAAACATAAGTTTTCCACTACTACTTTATGAGACTATACAATATACTTACAGTTCTCCCATGCAAGCAGCTGTTTTTTTTTTTTTTTTTTTTTTTTTTAACAGAAGGTCTAAAAAATTCCCAGTTAATGCCAAGTGCAAATCAGAAATGGGGTGGCCACCCTCCTCAAAAAACAGATTTTAGGGAAGGCATGTGTTAAGCCTGCATTTAATATATTGTTATAAAAAGAAAATAATAGTTTGAGAGCTTTTTGTAGTACATTCCCCAGTATGGTTTCGTCTTTTCAGCAAGGAAATACATTTTATGCACACTGTTTATTGTGCAACATGAAATAAATGAAGGTGTTAAAGCCAGATGACTTTATATGTAATTATGCAGATGCAGGATGGAGCAGACAAGACAGATTTATTTCAGTTTACTCCATGAAAGATACTACAGGCAGTCCCCGGGTTACGTACAAGATAGGGACTGTAGGTTTGTTCTTAAGTTGAATCTGTATGTAAGTCGGAACTGGCGTCCAGATTCAGACACTGCTGAAACTGACCGCCAGTTCTGACTTACATACAGAATCAACTTAAGAACCCCAGGCGTCCCCAAGTCAGCTGCTGCTGAAACTGATCAGCAGCTGATTCCAGGAAGCCCGGGGCAGAGCAACTCTGCCTGGGGCTTCCTGTAGTCAGTGCTGGTCAGTTTCAGCAGAAGCTGACTTGGGGACGCCTGGGGCAGAGCAGCTGGGGTGCTGCTGGGTTGCTCCAGTAGCGCCGCTCCTGGGTGCTACTGGACCAACCTAGCAGCACCCCATCTGCTCTGCCCCAGGCGTCCTGATTCAGCCGCTGCTGAAACTGACCAGCAGCGGCTGAATCAGGACCTGGGGCAGAGCAGCTGGGGTGCTGCCGGGTTGGTCCAGTAGTGCCCAGAGCGGGCGCTGCAGGACCAATCGGCAGCGCCCCAGCTGCTCTGCCCCAGAGTCCAAAACAAAAGCCTGGTCTGCTGG